ATTCAATCACCAAATATTAAATCTATATGAAAAATAGTTGCTGATGAATTGGCGGCCATTTTGTTTGGTCGTAATCAAAGAATTTATTTAGTTTTTCCGTCAGGTTGGACTATTAAAAACAGATGGCATACAATATGAATATTGCCCTTGATTCTGTCACCATAATACTAGTCATCTTTGAAAAAAAAATCGTTGATGAGGTTTTATATGACTGAAGAGTATGCACAATATGTTGTGTTGATCAAATCTGCTTTGTCAAATCCAAATTTGACAGCGTATTGCTAACGTGCTGTAACTCTGGCTCAACTTTTATTCAATGCGTCATAGCATTGTGAAAGAAGTTGTAATATAGAACGTACAGTTATGCAAAATGTGAATGTTATTTTATATTTTACGTTCGAAAGATGTATCTATCATGTTATAAACTAAAACTAGAAACGTTAATGTCAATTACAAATACCCCCCCCAAATCGGCATTTGCCGATAAGCTGTATTTTTTAGTTTAAATGAAACTTCAATAAGTTTCAAAATGTTTAAATCTTAATTTTGAAAAAAAAAACGTGATGTTCGGGGAAAATGGACCGCCACCAATATCTGTGAACAGGGAATAGAAACTTATTTATTCCCACGTGTAGGGCTACGGTGACTCTACATTGTAGCAGAATGGAGTGAACTGTTAAATATGTTACTGTCACCTTCTACACTGTGCATGATTTTCAAATGTATTGCAACATTTCATCACAGATACGTAAACATATATATATTATATTAAAGGCATTAGAAAGAAACACCATCGTATACATGCTTACACTGTGGCTGAAAAAAACGAAAATTGAAATACCAAATATAAAACGGTCATCCCTAGTGCCATATTTAAATTAAACGATTATATTTGTAGATGCATATACGAATCTGGTAATTAGAAGGAAAATTGATGTAATATATTATGCAGACTTATAGTCCCCCACAATAAAATATGTAAGCAGATACACATGGCAAGGGCAGCAAACAATGTTTCTTTGTTTGATTTCACTTCTGCGATTATTTCAAGCTACAAGTACAATATTCATAATTGGAGCGATCTAGTTTATTTCTTGTGATCGAACAATTTAAGGTTGTACAAATTGTTACCAATTAATGGTATACTGAAACGGTAAACCATGATAGCCAAATTTTAAGGCAGTTTTATTTTTTAATCAACTATCTTGTACTGCAACACACTGAAATACACGTATTAGTGTGTTCAATTTTTATGTTGATTTCGTAAGTAGTTTTTCAAGGTAAATCAATGTTTTAAATAACAAGAGACAGTTGTATTTCATTGTTTAGAGTAGATGGAAGTATTACACGACATCGGAAAATGTATCATAACAAGTCCAAGTCCTTTTGGAGGTACTTTGTTTGGTCGAAATCAAAGAATTTATTTAGTTTTTCCGTCAGGTTTCACGGGCAGGTGTACATAAATCATACACTCTCTTCACTTTTACCGTTTTAGAAATAGGGTTGCACCGCGGCGTTTGGGTCCGATCTATACGCCGTCACTGCCGTGTATACTGACAGACGAAGCCCTGTCCGGGGAAAAAAACGCATCCGATTCGGAATCACAGCTATACCAAACGTAGCATGTCTCTTTTTTATACGAACCACTCGCGTTCCTAATGTTTTTTCATAGTTGGCGCTGCACAGAAATTCTAGACTTATTTATAACATAAGATTCAAAGATGCAACTGTATGTGAATATCGGAACTACTTTTGTTTAGGTTTATTACCAAACTAATTAATAACTGTCGACTTGGACTGAATTTCAGTACAGGTTTAAACGGGCCAGAGGCGACGGCACGAAAGTCTGCATTGGGGAGCGAGATCTGCTCACCATCCCTAGGGAGTCTGGGCATGGTCTCCGGTGAAATGTTGAATCTAGACCATTGAAACGCTATTTCCTGAATTTTGAGGGGCAAACTTTGCTGACACAAAGGGTTTCAGCTTGATTTTTGAAGGGGCGACCGCAGCCCCCGGTGCTGCCGCCACTGCAGGCGTTGTTATTGTCGCTTATGACTCAATTGCCACGCGTACGCAGATGACAACTCCTTTGCTTTAAATGGTACTTATGTAACAGCTAGACAGGTCTGATCGTCAAAAAGGTCGTAGCGAAATTGCTCATATTAGTAGTACACGCCCTTATGTAAATCTTGATAATGTAGTCTAATAGAATAAATACAGTAATTGTGATTTGGTCACATAACATTTATGTATACTAGTATGTGAAAACATGCCCACAGTTTACATGCAAATACATACATAGCATCAAATTCACAGACAAAAGACAGCGGAATACCTATTTTCAACAAATTTAATAAGTTTCGTTCAGAAAATATCATGACAGAGTAATTAACGTATATACAAATATTACATCTCTACCTGTTACATGATGTATAAATTTGGACTGATTTAAATAGTCGAAGTCTATCAAATTCAGACTGGCATGTTTATATTGAAGGATGATGGTCACTGTGCAGGGTGGATTCAAAGTAAATATTGTTTATTTTTACCACGCATGAACATCAAAGACAAATCCAATACCTTAAAGCGGGGGGGGGGGTCGTCACCTGCGCACGCGCGGGAATTGAGTCCCAAGCGACGATAACAACACACGCTAAAAAGGCTCATGGGTAGACGCTTGTTTGTAAACAATGACACGCTATGGTCATCTGACGCATGCGCAGGTGACGACTCCCCCGCTTTAAAACAGCCAATCAGTATAGGACATATTTAAGACAATAATATCGCACGAGAACCATGATCACAATGCTGGAGCATTGAACAAAAGTGATTCACACTTGTATATTAAATTAAAGACTTTCTTCGATAGCTATAGTTCGGGATACATTTACATATATATATATTTTAGACAATGGTACGAGCAGATAAGGACATACAGTGCACCAAGGTTAAGTTATATAATTTAATTTGGAACAAAAGTTGGAATATAATAATCTAGTTTTTTTTTAATTTTAATCATTTTCCAATATCCTTTTAATAATCATATCAAATAAAATTGTCAACATTTCAGCTACAATTTTTCTCATATAGTCAAAAGTATGAGCGTTGCAAATCGTATTTTCTTTAATAATATATCATAGTTATATTTTACTCGTAAGTGTATTATTACAAGATCTAATAAAATACCAAGCAATTAAGCTAACTACATTGTGCAAACTAATTATGCAAAAATCATGATAATACGACGTTTTCAATATATACCTCGACAATTTGTAAATGTTGTCAAACAATTTAAATCTTAACAATTAAAATAAAATTTTAGCCAATTCCAAGATTTAGTAATATTGTATACATTTAACTAATTCATTTAATATCACAAATTAATTACATTTAGGTTAATGTTTTTAGATAAAAGACGAATTTTGACTAAACTGCGATAATCAGGGCATTATTTCCCAAAATGGTGTGTGTTATCAGTTTATTTACTCATCACAACACACTGAACGTAAACCCGAGAGGGTGGCGTAGTGGGTACACATGGTTAGCCTCAGCCCAGGATCTATCGAGAACTATTTTAACATAACCAGAATTGATAGATGGCAGATGTCGCATGTGGGAGAAAATTTTTTCACACAAAACAACTGATATTACTTCTCGGGATATGTGATGCCGCGAGCGTCACGTACGCTATCATTAATTTGTACTGCGTTTCATATTCGATGCAGTGTTCTTACTTTTCTGTTCTAAGACAGGACATCGAATGTGTATAGACGTTCCAGGCTTGCTTATCCATAGCATTTTTACTTTTGTCATAAACTACATAAATATACCACACGTTTACTTAAAACGTACTCTGTAGTACCAATCAATTGATCGCGAGCTATTTAGTTTCTGATCCATGCCCAATCAATTTCTTGCATGTGATTCAAACATTATATTTTACGGGTCCATTGGTCTTTCTGATGGCGACCTTTCGATAAAATTGAATCTTGCCGGCATATTAGGCTTATGAAGTACACAGAAGGTCATGCCCATTTCTCCGTGATGCCACTCAATCTTGAAATTTCTGACCAACTACAGAAAAGAAATAAAGAAATCATTTATTTGATTCAAACTGTCAATCAATTATCGCACCTTTTCCTGACTTTTACCATATGGCTTTATTTTACGCTGTTGCTCACGAACCTGAGATTAAAAAAAAAACAATATATACTACAGGGTAATCGTACTACTAGTTTTTGCACAAACATATGTCAAACATGTCGATGTCATTTACAATTGATCCTTATAGTAACACCGTTTTCGCCATATCCCAAAATTTCGTTTGGGTACATATGGTGAAAAAAACAAACATGTTTGTATAAAATGTATACTCATCATTATCCTGAATTATTGAGAAATTCTGACAAATCATATTCATTTGTTACGAGATAAGGCTTTAACATGCATTTCCATGGAAATAAATCCCAAAAAATAGAGAAAAACGGAAAAAACAATTGATATTACACCCGAAACAAATATTATATGTATAATCCAAACCTTGGATATCACAATCTGCAATTGTTTTTCAGCAATTCTTCTTCCAACACACATTCTGGCACCAAA